ATCCGCAGTGAAGTATGTCGACTAACCGGTGCGAATGTCTCAGTGAAATCGCGTCCGTGCTCTTGGTCGAAGCCGCGTACGACCCAGCGTGCCTTGAACTTGTCGATGGTGCCATCTGCTTTTGTCTTCACACGGAAGACCCACTTCCCGGTGAGTATTGTCTTGTTTCGTGCCACGCCGATAGGAACCACTTTCCAGGTGTTGCGCTCCTGTAGTGCTTTCAGTTCCTTGTCCATGGCTTCACGCCATTTTTCCGTATGTTCCCCCCCCCAGAGCCTGCTGAACCGTGGCAGGCTCCTTAGGTGTATCCGTGCCGTGGACCGCGGTGACGAGACCAAGTATCTGAAGGCCACTCTGTGTGTAGCGGGGGAGTGTTGTGTCCGCGGGATAAGCTGCTTCGTCTCCTGTTTCTGGGTCAGGTATGAAGTTGGGCCCTATGCGTTCGGCTTCGTTGGTGTTGACTTTTGCAGGTGTAACGTAACCAGTGTCGGCGAGGTCGAAATAAGTTTCGGCGTTGACACTTTCGCGAGGATTTTCGTCATCCATCGGGATGGGCACAGAACAGTAAGGGAGTGGTCCTGCTTCTTCCGAGGCGTTATCCACGTTCTGCTCGTCCCAGTCAGCTTCGTCTGCTACCGAGGCGAAGTGTCGGTCACCACGGAAGCCACCTGTGGGATCCCGATTTTCTTCCAGGTTGGCAAGGTATGTCGGAAGGGTGAATCGTTCGTAGAAAATGACGTCACGTGCTGCTACTGTTTCTTTGGAGTGGACGTCGAAAATCTTCCACGCGTTGTAATTTCTTTCGATGCCCAGGTGTAGTCCCCACTGTGCTCATTGGGAAAATCGGCCGGCTCGTGCAGATGGGGGTCGGTACTGTACCATGCAGCCGAAAACTCTTAACATTTTTGTGCTGCCCTGTTTTCCTGTCCACAGCAGGTGCGGTGATGCGTTGTTCGGTAATGACGACGAAGTAAGCAAGTTGTGCAGCATGACAGCGTGGTCCATCGCTTCAGGCCACTGGTGATTGGGCAGTCGCATGCCACGCAGTAGTTTGCGCATGGTGTTCTGGAGGGTTCGGTTCATCCGTTCCGCCACGCCTTGCTGTTGATGGGCGTAAGGAAGCGAGATGAGCCTTTTGATTCCCTTTTCTGCCAAGAACTGCTTGAACCGCTGTGAGGTGTATTCTCCTCCTCCGTCTGACTGAAAGCTTTTCAGTTTCTCGCCTGATTCTCGTTCTGCTACTGGGAGCCAAGCGATGAAGGCTTCGAAGGCCATGTCCTTGCTCGGGAGATTAAGGTGCCAAACGTAACGTGTAGCGGCATCGATGAAGGTGATGGTGTAGCTGTATGCTCCTTGTCCAGGTTCGCGGTTGTACAAGATGTCGCTGTAAACTTTCTCAAGTGGTGCATAAGCTGGTGCGCTGGGGTTGTGGTGCGAAGTAAATGGCCGATGTGGTAAGTCTGCTTCGGGGCAGGTAAAGCACGTTCCTCGTGCTCGTCGAAGTTCACTTCCGTCCGTTAGGAGTAGTGAATCCTTGTCGAGTACGCCTGCTCGGATTGTATTGTTTAACACCGTGTTGCTTGGGTGTCCCATTCGTGCGTGCCAGATGTCTTCGCTGGCGCGATGTCCGGGTGAACGACGATACAGATCGGAGTTGGAGTAAAAGGCGGCGGTGAAGTTGGCGCTTCTGTGAACTTCGCGAGGAGTGGGAGTTAGCTGCTGCGCAGGAGTTGGTGAAGTATTATCGATGTGTGGCGACGTTGAAGAACTTGCGACTGGTGTTGTAAGTGTTGTTGGAATTGCCGATGGTTCTGCTGCTGCCGATGTTGTTTCTGCTGCTGCCGATGTTGTTTCTGCTGCTGCCGATGTTGTTTCTGCTGCTGACGATGTTATTTCTGCTGCTGCCGATGTTGTTTCTGCTGCTGCCGATGTTGTTTCTGCTGCTGCCGATGTTATTTCTGCTGCTGCCGAGTGTTGAATTGTCGCTAATGCTCGTGTTCGTTCTGCTTCAGGGATGGTGTGCGAATACCAGAAGCCTTCTGGACTGAAGTCGGGGTCAAGATCCGGTGGATGTGTCCAAGAGGTGAAGGTGACGATCCCGTCGCTGTCGGCGGTGCCGAGATCTGGGACGAAGTCGAGGACGAAGACATTGTTTTTCAAGACTGCTTTTCCGATGTAGAGACCACCCTTGCCGTGGTATAACTTAAACTCCTGAGTGATGCTGTTGGCCTCGAGGTGTATGCCCTTCGCCATTAGCTGACTGACACTCAGTAAGTTGTAACCGAGTCCTTCTGCTATCAAAACTTTAGACATCTGCAGTATGACACTTGTCTCTCGTGACTGAAGTTGCACTACACCTTGTCGTCGTGTGCGCAGGTTCTGATTGTTGGCGACGGTAATGATGACTTCTCGTTGAAGTAGATGTTCACGTTGAACAAAACGTCCTGAAGAGCACATATGCTGACCACAGCAGCTGTCCAAGAACCACGTATCCTTCCCGGATGGCTCGCTTTGAGCGATGGCTGCGTACGTTGGGTTTGGTTGAAGTGACTCGCGACGAGGTGTGCTGTTGTCGAGTTGTTCTTCCGGTGAGTAATGTGGTGGAGACTCGGTGATGCAGGAATCGGTCAGTCGTGTCATGCAACTGACAATGTTTCTTGTTTCTTGCGCAGGTTGTCCCGCCGATGTCGTTGAGATCGAGCTTGCTTGCGTTGAGGTAACTTGACTGCTTGAAGGCCGAAGCTGCCGCTGCGTCGGTGCTGATTGTTGTCGGTTAGGGCAGTGTGAGCGAGGATGCCCTGACATCTTGCAAAGGTGACAGAACGGAGGTACTGATTTCGGTTGATGCCAATTGTTGTTGTTGTAGCGTCGTTGAGTGTGGAATGCAAATTCGGGCACTGATGCCTTCTTCCTGTGTCGTTCCTCTTGCAGGTCCATGTCTTGCTGCTCAGCATGGATTTCGGCGCAGAGTGTTGCTTCTTATATCTTTCCATGTGCTCGAAGTATGGCGCGGGTGGAGCGCCACTGAGGACCAAGGCCGCCGATTATGACTGTGACGAAGGCGTCTTCTGAAATCGACCCTCCGCATCGAAGGAGTTTGTCGCGCAATTCGCGACAACGGCTGATATACGCCATCCCCTTTTCGCCTGGTTTCATCTCGACTGTTGTTAGTTGCGCCATTAGCCGACTTTGGTTTACGCTGTCTGTTGCTTGATACAGGTTCTTCAAGTGGTTGTACGCGAGCTCTGCAGAGTTGCCGTAACCCCAGTAAGACCGTATGTTCTGCCGCTGATTTGGAGTGATATTTCTCAGCAGGATTGTGTACGCCATCATTGACTGATACGTGTATTGCTGCTTGTCGTACTGTGTGCCGTGTGTTGGATATGGCAAGGACCCATCGAAGAAGCCAAGGATCTGCGCGCCTTCCATCATTAACTCGAACTCGAATGACCAGGTAAAGAAATCCTTTCCGTCGAAAGGTCTTGTCGTCTGTAGTTTTAAGACGTGCGCGAACTGCGACTGCACTTGAAGTGCGTCCAGTGTCTTTTCTTGTCCGGATGCAGGCTGCGGGTGTGGCATAAAGCTGACGGAGCCACGCTGGGGCTCATACGGGGCAAAGGTAGGCCGTTGCTGTTGGTTTCCACGTGCGTAGGATGAACCGTCGAGGCTCATCGGTGTTGCGTTGTTGTTGCTGTTGTTTGACTGTGCAGGTGCCCCTTGCTGGTGCTGTTCGTAGAATGACATGAAGGAGAAGAACTTCTCCATCATGTCTGGATCAAAGGCCGCAGCTTGATTTGCGGGAGTTTCCGAAGACGATGCCCTTGGTCTTGTTGCTGTACCCTCCTCTGTCTGTAGGCCAGAGGCAGGAGGTGGAGTAGGAGTAGTGCCAGGAGAGCCGTTAGAGGAGCTTCTCTCCTTCTGTGTTGCCATTTCTTGCGATGTTGTAGATTTCTTGTTTGTAGTCGAATTTGCCCTGACTGCTCTCATACCATGTTGGGCTGAGAAAGCCCTTAGGATCTTTGCAGGGCAGAACTCAAGAGTAGGATGATGTAATAGCGGAAGCGTTTACCGTCATCGCCCGGATATAAGACATATATGTCTTATCTCGTACACGGGCAAAAATGCTTGAGTTATCTTGTAAACGGGATGGTTTAGGGTGTCTTATAAGTCTTATAAATGGAAACTTTTTAAACTACTTAGAAATATTTTCCGTACTTCTTGAAAAAGAATTCCTCATAATGAGTGTGGATGTTGCGAAGGTGCCACTTCGGCAACCACTGCCCGGGACGCCACGTCATGGAGAACACCTGCAGAGGCAAATTTGGTAGGTCCTGGTCAGCGCGTGGAAGAATTCGCGCTTCGCAAGGGTAAAAATGTTCGCGGTATTTCAACTTTCGCTATAATATATTGAAGTTTCGATTATAAGACATATATGTCTTATCTCGTACACACAAATAGGTGTCTTATAATGAGGCTAGCCTGTTTATAAGAGACACCCGTATAGTAGACAACCCCTGTCTACTATTCAACACTGTCTTATATCCGGGCGATGACGGTAATAAATGATTGTGAACCACCTTGCACTTGTATGTGAGGGCAGAGTAAGTTAATGATAATAAAAGAGATACAAGCTTTTATAAGAATACAAAGGAATATGAAGAGATACAGTTAACTGTTTTATTGTTGCTGTTGCGGTTCGATACAGTGTCGACTCGGGCAACTGCTCAGTATCGAGACAGTTGTTTGTCCTTGCTGTCGCGCTGCATTTGTCAGGTCAAAGGTCGCTGACCTTTGACTTTCGTGTAACCTCCAACAGTTATTCAACCTCCGAGGGTTGACTCACCGATATTTCGATACGAGCTGCTTCGCTTCTGTCTTGGTGTTTCGACACGACAGAGGCGCCTAAATCAGTTGTTTCCAACATCTGGTACTAGTTCATACTCTCTAAATGCGAGACAGGCAACAGCAGCCCCACTGCAAGCCCCTAAGCTCGCAGCCACTTAGCCTCCAGAGTGGGAAATGGGTGTGGTGACGAAGGTGCCATTCTTGAGCTCACTCACAAACTGCTCCGGTAGCGCATGCTCCACCTGGCAGGGGGGTGACGAGGGGGGTGATGAGGGGCGAGGAGAGGGGTGGAGCGGGGAGGAGAGGGGAGGCGAGGTGAGGAGAATGGTTAGCAGCACATCATGCTGCATGTGGTTGAGTGTGTGGTGAGAGGGCATGCACATATGGTGTCCGTGGTACGCTCTTCAGCTCACTCCACACTGCTCTGGTGGAGCATGCTGCACCTGCCACGAGGGTGGGGGGGGGGAGACGGGAGGGGGGAAGGGAGGGGATATGGGCAGGGAGACGGGAGGGGAGACGGGAGGGGAGAAGGGAGGGGAGACGGGAGGGGAGAAGGGAGGGGAGACGGGAGACAATAAGGGAGGGGATATGGCAGGGAGACAGGAGGGGAGACGGGAGGGGAGACGGGAGGGGAGAAGGGAGGGGAGACGGGAGGGGAGACGGGAGGGAGATGCGAAGGGAGGTGGGAGGGGAGATGCGAGGGGAGGTGGGAGGGGAGATGCGAGGGGAGGTGGGAGGGGAGATGCGAGGGGAGGTGGGAGGGGAGATGCGAGGGGAGGTGGGAGGGGAGAAGGCAGGGCAGGGAAGGTGGTTCGCCATGTGGCACAGGCAGCCTAGAGCACTTTGCTTGCAGCCTAGCAGACCTTCTTCCATCCCTCTCCACAACTTCTCCCCATTTCCCTCACCACCCTCTACCCCTTTCCCCTCCCTCCCATCCTACCCAGGACGTGTCGGCATCGGGCCCCAGGACGAGCACGTTGATCTCCGATGACTTGGCCGTGGGATGGCCGCTGAGAAGAGTAGATTCGACCCAGATCACCAGACTTAGCTCGTTGCCACCACTCTCCCCATCCCTTCCACCTCCCCTCATTGCTTTCTCCACTCCCCTCTGATTTCCTTCACCATCCTTGCCCAGTTCCCCCACCAACCCTATCCATTTCACTCATAACCTGAACACCCATACCCATCCCCCCTTCCCTACCCAGGGTGTGTCGGCATCGGGTCCGGGCACGAGCACGTTGATCTCCGATGACTTGGCGGTGGTGATCGACGCTGTCAGCGCTGACGCAGCGAGGTACAGCTGGCAGCCGCTGGTGTTGTCCACTGCGAGCATGGGGGCCGTGCCCTGGCACTGGATCTCCACACCGCTGCAGTTCACCACCTCACATGCTGCCAACACGTCCTGATGGGAGGGAAGAGGAGAAGAAGCAGGCATGGAGGGAGGGAGGCTTGAACTAGCAGCAACGGAACAACAAGGGGGAGCAGCAACGGAACAACAAGGGGGAGCAGCAACGGAACAACAAGGGGGAGCAGCAACGGAACAACAAGGGGGAGCAGCAATGAGCGATTGCAGAAAATGACAAATCATGCATCCCAGATTGCTGGATAACTGCATCAACATGCATGTAATAATCACCTGAGCTGAGCCTACCCGAGCCCACCTGAGCCCACGTGGGCCTCACCTGGAAGACAACGGCAGTCTTGGTGCACTTGTCCAGCGTGATGTTGTTCACCTTGCCTGGAGGGGGGCGCACAAGGGTGGCATGAGGAAGAACGGCCACAGGCTATGGGATGAAGTGCAGTGGACGACGGTTCAAATGGGAGGCAAATGCCAGGACGTATGGGCACATGGTTGGAGATGGGTGGAGATGGGTGGAAATGGGTGGACATGCGAGCACACTTGGTGGGATAAGAGGAACTTTTCAAAGGAGCCGCAGCACAGAACGCCTCTCACCTTTGACCTGCACGACTGTGCCCTTGCAGCCAAAGATGTAGACGGTCTGCTTGGGCTCCGTGTCTGCTATCACCACCTCCTTGTTGTCCACCTGGTTCTCCACCACCCACCTGCCACATGCTCACACATAACAACGCACACGCACAACGAGAAACATGCGATGGTTAAAAGTAGGTGGAGAGCAGGCCAGCATGGGGAAGCACACAAGTGTCTCCCATCATGCAATTGCAAGTAATCACCACCTCCGTGTTCTCCACCTGATTCTCCACCACCCACCTGCCATGCCCACGCGCACACAGCAACACACAGGAACGCACAGACAACACACAGCAACACACAGGAACGCACAGACAACACACAGCAACACACAGGAACGCTCAGACAACACACAGCAACACACAGGAACGCACAGACAACACACAGCAACACACAGCACGCATGCACATGCACATGCACATGCACATGCACAGCAACACGCATTGTGTGAAAGGGGTAAGAGGGCTTCATGCAATGGAGAAAGGCAGGCAGAGAGCTGGGTAGCACAGCCAACCACACAGCTATCGCCCATTGTGCCAACGGTTTGAACGGCTTAGAAGCAGCCCATACGAGTCCATGCGTGCTCACTGGCGCCCCCATGCCCGTGCTCACTGGCGCCCCCATGCCCGTGCTCACTGGCGCCCCCATGCCCGTGCTCACTGGCGCCCCCATGCCCGTGCTCACTGGCGCCCCCATGCCCGTGCTCACTGGCGCCCCCATGCCCGTGCTCACTGGCGCCCCCATGCCCGTGCTCACTGGCGCCCCCATGCCCGTGCTCACTGGCGCCCCCATGCCCGTGCTCACTGGCGCCCCCATGCCCGTGCTCACTGGCGCCCCCATGCCCGTGCTCACTGGCGCCCCCATGCCCGTGCTCACTTGCGGCCTTTCTGCAGCTCCAACTTGGGTGGCTTCACCACAGCTGGCATGCAGAATGGACAGCAACGCGCATTGCCCATGCTCACTTGCACCCCCCATGCCCATGCTCACTTGCACCCCCATGCCCATGCTCACTTGCACCCCCATGCCCATGCTCACTTGCACCCCCATGCCCATGCTCACTTGCACCCCCCATGCCCATGCTCACTTGCACTCCCCATGCTCACTTGCACCCCCCATGCTCACTTGCACCCCCATGCCCATGCTCACTTGCGGCCTTGCTGCAGTTCGAACTTGGGTGGCTTCACCACAGCTGGCTTCGCAGTAGCGGAGGCGCCTGCTGACGTGGCCTTGCTGCCGCCTATGCTGGCCGGCACTGCCCCTGAGCGGTCGGCACGATTCTTTGTCTTCATGTCTGCTGTCACCTTGCGCAGCCCTGCGTTGGTAATGAGGGCGGAGATTGGTTGACGAGGAAAAAAGGCGAAAGGGGTGGAAATGGGTGATGTGCGGTTCTTGGTCTTCATGTCTGCTGTCATCTTAGCCAGACCCACACGGGACGGGTGATGGGGAGAGAAAGGAGGCAGACGCGTCACCGGAGCAGTCAGAGTGGTTACTTGTCGTCACCTCGCCTGTCACCTGCCACAAGTCCGCTCCACTTTTCCGTCCATCTGTCCGCCCGTTTGCCTGGTTTTCTGTCCAATCGTTAGAAAAAAAACCCTTCACAGACATTAGTTTTCACCCATCTGTCAAAATTTCCGTCCATATGTCCATTTTTCCATGTCTTGCTCCATAACTAGCCAGCACACACCGCTCTCCCCCTCCTGCCATCCCTCACCTACCATCACAGCTTCTCACCTGCCATCCCTCACCTACCATCACAGCTTCTCACCTGCCATCCCTCACCTACCATCACAGCTTCTCACCTGCCACCCCTCACCTGCCATCCCTCCCTCATCTGCTCCCATCCCTCACCTGCCATCCCTCACCTGCCATCCCTCACCTGCCATCCCTCACCTGCCATCCCTCACCTGCCATCCCTCACCTGCCATCCCTAACCTGCCATCCCTCACCTGCCATCCCTCACCTGCCATCCCTCACCTGCCATCCCTCACCTGCCATCCCTCACCTGCCATCCCTCACCTGCCATCCCTCACCTGTCATCCCTCCCTCACCTGCCATCCCTCACCTGCCATCCCTCACCTGCCATCCCTCACCTGCCATCCCTCACCTGCCATCCCTCACCTGCCATCCCTCACCTGCCATCCCTCACCTGCCATCCCTCCCTCACCTGCCATCCCTCACCTGCCATCCCTCACCTGCCATCCCTCACCTGCCGTCCCTCACCTGCCATCCCTCCCTCACCTGCCGTCCCTCACCTGCCATCCCTCACCTGCCATCCCTCACCTGCCATCCCTCACCTGCCATCCCTCACCTGCCGTCCCTCACCTGCCATCCCTCCCTCACCTGCCGTCCCTCACCTGCCATCCCTCACCTGCCATCCCTCACCTGCCATCCCTCCCTCACCTGCCATCCCTCACCTGCCATCCCTCACCTGCCATCCCTTGAAAGAAACTATGAGCTATAGGAAGTTGAGGAAGAATTGTTAACATTAGCTCAAAAGAGCACAAGGTTATACAAGGAAGAGAAGGTTGGAGAAGAAGACCAAACCTAGCACATAAGACACCAAGACCAAGTAGGCTAGTGGGAGGAAGGACCATCCAACCAACCCTAGTGGGATGGTGGCCAACCAACCAAAGTTGGTTGCTCCACTTGGCCAACAAGGTTGGAGCCAAGTCTAAGCTAGGATATTTGGGTTCACCCCAATTAGGGTGTCTACCCGTAGTACACCCAAAACTAGAGCCTGAACCAACCCAACTGTACACCACTCTTGGTGTACAGTCACAAGTGTTCGCATGCTATAATATATAGATTCTAACACAACCCCTTAGCATGCGAACACAGGAAGAGAACAACCCCTGAATCAAGGGGCGCCCGGGCGAGCAAGGCCAACGAGACGGAGGAAAGCAGAGTGTGCAGGGCGAAGGAGCGCCTTGGTGAAGATGTCGGCCAAGTTGGCCTCCGCCGCAATCTTCCGAACAGAAATGAGGCCTTGCTGGACGAGCTCGCGGATGAAGAAGTAGCGGAGCTCGATGTGCTTGGAGCGGGCGTGATAGACAGGATCTTGAGTGAGGTGGATGGTGCTGGCGTTGTCACACCAGAGAGTGGGGCACGGCTGGGGGGCGCCAAGCTCGGCAAGAAGAAAGCAGAGCCAGCGGGACTCCTGTGCGGCCATGGTGCCGGCGTAGAGCTCGGCCTCGCAGGTGGAGAGAGAAATGGCAGAGGAGCGGGTGGAGCGTCAGCTGATAAGGCCGCTGCCAAGGGTGAAACCGTAGCCCTGGGAGGAGCGGCGGTCCGGCTGCGAGTCAGCCCATGAGGAATCACTGAAGCCCGAAAGGAGAGGAGGGGAGGGGCCGCCAAGGGTGAGGACATGGTCCTTGGTCCCACGAAGGTAGCGGAGGACCCGCTTAGCAGCCTTCCAATGTTCCTCAGTGTGACGACCGGTGCCAACAAAGCGTGCGAGCACGCTAATGGGGTAGGCGAGGTCGGGGCGGGTGCACATCATTGCGTACATCAGCGACCCAACGAGCTCGGCATAGGGGTGAGGGGAGGTGGAGGGAGAAGTGGGCGGAGCGAGCTGGTGGCAGAAAGGGAGGGGTGTGGACACGGGCTTGGCCTGCGCCATCTCGAACTTCTCCAAGACCTGGCCGATGTAGTGGGACTGGGAGAGGGTGATGGTGCGAGCAGGGCGGTCGCGCGTGATGGTCATGCCTAGGTAGTGCGTGAGGTCGCCCAGGTCCTTGCATTTGAGACGCTGCTGCAATGACATCTTCATCTGCTCCATGTCAGCCTTGGAGTCAAAAAGGAGAATCATGTCGTCCACATACACCAGAATGAAGAAGCGACGAGGGGAGGAGCGAATGAAGAGGCTGGCATCGGAGTGGGATGCAGAGAAGCCGAGGGACCCCAGAGTGGCAGACAGCTTCGCGTGCCACTCCCTTGGCGCCTGCTTCAAGCCATAGACAGGGCGACGCAGCTGCCAGACGGTGTTCTCTGGAAAGGCAGCATGGAACCCAGGGGGCCGTCTGAGGAAGATGCGCTCGTGCAGGTCGCCCTGCAGGAACGCATTGGAGACGTCCATGGAGCATATCTCCATGTTGTCACGTGCGCCAATGTCGAGGGCTGCGCGAAAGGTGGGTGGTTTGGCGGTGGGGGCGTAGGTGAACCAGAAATCCTTGCCCCAAGTCTGCGTGAAACCCTTGGCACAGTAGCGTGCCTTGTAGACCGGCTCCTCGCCCGGCAGCTGCTTCACCCGAAAGACCCATTTGCCCTCGACGAGATTGGCGCCGGCTGGGAGGGGGACATCGACAAAGGAGTCGTTGCGAATAAATGCCTCACACTCCAAGAAGATCGCCGCTATCCATTTGTCCGCGTCAGGGCAGGTGATGGCCTCTTGGAAGGTGGTGGGAGTGAAGATGGTTGGGGTGGAGGTGGCGCCAAGGACGGGAAAGCCGAGGAAGTCAAGGTAGAGGGAGGCAAGGAAAGGTGTGTGTTGCCGAATGTTGAGGAACTCCTCATGGGAGTCCTCGAGGAGCTGAATGGAGGCAGGAGGAGGGGCTCCAATGAGTCTGTCCAGGGAGCGGGTGTGCATGCGGGGAAGGAGGAAAGGGGAGGAGCGGGAAGTTGCACGTCGCTGCTACTGCTGCAGGTGCTGCTGCCCCTGCTGCTGCTGCTGCTGCTGCTGTTGTCCCGGTTGCTGCTGCTGCGCCTGCCCCGGCTGCTGCTGCTGCTGCTGCCCTTGCTGCTGCTGCTGCTGCTGCTGCGCCGGCTGCTGGAAAGGGGGAGAATGAGAGGCGGAGGGAGGGGGGGAGGGGGTGCAGCTGAGTGAGCGGGAGAGGCGGGTGCGGCAGGGTCGTAGACGTCGGCAGAGGAGGAAGGCGGGAGCGGGGCGGCGACAGGGGGGAGGAGAGGCGCTGGAGGGAGAAGAGGCGGGAGGACGGTGTCGGTCCAAGCGAGGGGGCGAGTGGGAGGAGGGAGAGGGTCAGGAGGAGGAGCGGAGTAGTAGGGAGTGGACTCGTCGAAGACGACGTCGATGCTGCGGATGAGGCGATTGGTGGGAGGGTGGAGGAATAGGTAGCCTGGGGAATCGCGATTGTGCCCAAGGTAGACGCACTCCAGAGCGCGAGGGGCGAGCTTGCCAGCAGTGCGGGAGCGATCGGCTGGAGGGATGAGGACGAACGCCTTGCAGCCCCAAACGCGAAGGCCAGCAGCGTCAGGCTTGGCCTTAGACCAAAATTCTGTGGGGGAGGAGGAGGAATGCTGAGGGTGGGAGCGGAGATTAAGGAGGAGGGCAACATGGAGGAGGGCATAGCTCCAGAGGGAAGGAGGGGTGGAGGCGTGAGCAAGAAGGCAGCGCGCAATCTTGGTGATCTCACGAATGCGACTCTCAGCGATGCCGTTCTGCTGAGGGGAATGGGGGAGGGTGTGGGTCTGCTGAATGCCGCGGGTTTTGCAGTAAGTGGCGAGGGTGTGATTGAGGAACTCACCCCCACCATCAGAGTGAAGGCGGCTGATGGGGCGTTTAAAGTGTGTGCGGCACTGCTCAGCCCATGCAATGACCACAGCCGGCACTTGATCCTTCGTGTGAAGGAAGAAGACAGTAGAGTACCGACTGTGGTCGTCGACGAGGACAAGCATGTACCGGTGCCCCTGGCGAGAGCGGATGGGATAGGGGCCCCACAGGTCCATGTGAACAAGGTCAAGGGGAGCAGCTGCGAAAGTGGGATGGCTGTGATGGGGAGACTGTTTGAGTTTGCCATGAATGCAGGATGGGCATGGGGGTGCGGGGGAGGAAGGGAGGGGAGGAAGAGTGGGGGGGAGGCTGTCGAGGAGGCGGGATGTGATGGCAGTGCGAAGTGCAGCGAAGTTTGGGTGGCCTAATGTGTGATGCAAGAGCACAGCAGGGTGGGAGAGGTGACTAGAGGAGGAGGGGGATGGAGTGGGGGAAGGAGGGGGGAAGGAGGATGAGGGGGATGACGTAGGGGAGGAGGATACCTGGGGGGGAGGGGGAGGGGGAGGGGGGCCGGTGGAAGTGCCAGCACGAGTGGTGACCTGACAAAAGGAGGGACGAGGTGTGCGGAGCGTGTAAAGGCGAGTGCGTGGACAAAGGGGAATGCGTAGGAGGAAGCGACCAGAAGCAGTGTTGTAGAGATCACAGTAAGAAGCATTACCAGGGTAAATAGCGGTAATACCAGCGCCTTGTATCTCACGGTGGGAGAGGAGATTGTTGCGAAGGGTGGGGATGTGGAGACCTGTGACTGTACCAGATGGGAAAACGGTGCAAGGTAGAGTGGAGAGGTGAGTGCATGGGACGGAAAAACTGGTGTCGGCACCGTGAACCTGAGTGGGAAGAGGAAGGGGAGTGAGGGTGCCAGCATCCTTCAGTGCAGTTTCGGTGGCCCCACTATCAAGGACAAAGTCCAAGGTGGGGGGGGAAGGAGGGGGAGGTGACACAGAGTACTGGAAAAGCGTCTCATCAATAGCAGAGGGATACATGGAAGCGACAGAGGGTGCAGCGGTAACATGACCAAGGAAACTGCTTTGGGTGTCAGAGACACTGGGGGGGGCAGAGGGGTAGCCAGAGTATGGCTGCTGCTGGAGAAGGGGCTGCTGTGGCTGAGGAGGATAAGGGAAGAGGGGGGGACCCAGGAATCCCGGGTGATGCTGTGGCCCCAGGTACTGCTGCTGCATAGGCAGAAGGCCCTAGAACCCCGTGTGCATCTGCTGCTGCTGCTGCTGCTGTTGCCGCCGCCGCTGCTGCTGCTGCTGCTGCGGCTGCTGCTGCTGCTGCTGAGGCTGCGGGTCTGGAAGGGGGGGAAGAAAGACTTGTACCTGGTGCAGGAGGTGGGGAGGCAGGTGACTCGCCAGAGTCTGGTGGAGCTGAGAAGGTGGTGGCTGATAGGCGGGAAGTGTTCGAACGTCATGAACAGTGGGGCGAGGGGTAACAGTGGCCCAGCGAGGAGGGGTACCTGTGTTGCCCCGAGCAAACCACTCATCACTGAGGGCCTTGAAGCAGGTTTCAGCAGGATGGGTGGTTTGGTTGCAGCGGTGGCCCTTGTTGGGGCCCTGTCGAATGACATAGGAGCAAGGAGGGAAACCCCCAGAGCGTCCACCGCGACCAGCACCCCCGTCACCTCCCAGCGTCCCACCTGTAACGCCACCGCCAGCTCCTCCACCTCGACCACCACCGCCTCCGCCACTCCCCCCACCACGACCCTTGCCACCACGCCCCCCACGTCCTCCGCGTCCCTGTGTGAAGTTGAGGGTGGAGGGGGACTGGCGGGTAAGCTTGGCTTCAGTATCAAGGACCCATGTGGTGACTTCGGCAGCCGTGGCGTGGGGAGAGAGAACAATGTCGTAGGCGATGCGGTGCATCTCAAAAGCCGGGGTGAGTCCCTCGAGGATGCGCCAAATGAGGAGGGGGTCGTCAATAGTGGCCCCACGCTCCCGAAGACGCCGAGCTGTGTTGTTGAGGCGACGGGTATAGTCAGCTGCGTTGGTGCAGGTGTCAAGGGTGATAGCGTTGAAGTCACGGTAGAGGGCATGAAGAGATGCCATGTCCCGACGGTCATACAAATCACAGAGGGCGCGCCAGAGAACTGCAGAGGAAGTGGCGTCAAGCTCGCTCTGGAGTGAGGTCGGGATGCAGGAGTTGATGAGGCCAATAGCCCGAGTGTCGGCAATGCACCAGGCGGCATGGCGAGTAGTGAAATCAGTCAGCTGGGAGGTGTAGGACGTCTTATCAGCAGTGTACTTCGCATGAAGGGCAGCAGCCGTGGTGTGAGCAGCAAGGGCTGCCTTGTGGGTATCCACCAGTCGCGTGTGTGTCGCCACCTCCTCCGCGTAGGTGGTGAGGCGCGAGGCATTGGTGGTGTTGTCAGAAACGAGGCGAGGGATATCGGGCGGGCGAGGTGCTTCGCCAGGATGGGGTGGTGGAGGAGGAGGTTCAAGACCAAGGAGAGGAGGTGGCTTGGGCTCAAGCCCATCCGGTCCGGCAAAGACAACGGAGTGGAGGTTGACACCGCCAATAATGGTGGAGCGGAGGACACCGGTGAGGCTCTGTGAGAATCGGTGCCAATTTAGTGCAGTAGTGCCGTCCTGGACTTCCAGGCGAACAATGGAGCCAGTATCAATAGGTACGGAGTCAGTCGCCATGAGTGCTGCTGCCACTGTTCAGCTCTGCCGCTGCTGCTGCCCAGTCACGCTGCTGCTGCTGTCCAGTCACGCTGCTGCTGCTGCCCAGTCACGCTGCTGCTGCTGCCCAGACCTGCTGCTGCTGCTGCTGTCCAGTCACGCTGCTGCTGCTGTGCAGTCACGCTGCTGCTGCTGTCCAGACCTGCTGCTGCTGCTGTTCAGTCACACTGCTGCTGCTGTCCAGACCTGCTGCTGCTGCTGTTCAGTCACACTGCTGCTGCTGTTCAGACCTGCTGCTGCTGCTGTCCAGTCACGCTGCTGCTGCTGTCCAGTCACGCTGCTGCTGCTGTCCAGTCACGCTGCTGCTGCTGTCCAGACCTGCTGCTGCTGCTGTTCAGTCACACTGCTGCTGCTGTCCAGACCTGCTGCTGCTGCTGTTCAGTCACACTGCTGCTGCTGTTCAGACCTGCTGCTGCTGCTGCCCAGTCACGCTGCTGCTGCTGCCCAGACCTGCTGCTGCTGCTGCTGTCCAGTCACGCTGCTGCTGCTGCCCAGTCACGCTGCTGCTGCTGCCCAGACCTGCTGCTGCTGCTGCTGTTCAGACCTGCTGCTGCTGCTGTCCAGTCACACTGCTGCTGCTGTTCAGACCTGCTGCTGCTGCTGTCCAGTCACGCTGCTGCTGCTGTCCAGACCTGCTGCTGCCGCTGTCCAGTCACACTACTGCTGCTGCCCAGGGCACAAGTGCTGCTACTGTCCGGTCACGCCGCTGCTGCTGTTGCGGGGAGGGCCGCGCAGTTGCTCTGCAGGGCTCAGGTGGGTGCTGGAAGAGGTAGCACGATGGGCAGGGAGGCTCGCGTGGTTGGCGGCAGTGGTGGCGTGACGCTTGGAGGGGCCCGTGCGACTGCGAGGAGGGGTGACGTGAAGGGCAGGGGGGGCCTCCGCAGCTGCTGGCAGAGGTGTCGCGACGGTCAAATGAAGCAATGCGGCCGCTAGCAGAGGATTCGGAACGGTTAAAACGATCCGCGCGACTGCTGCCAGGGATTCGCGATGGTGAAATTGACTCGCGCGACTGCTGGCAGGGATTCGCGACGGTGAAATTGACCCGCGCGACTGCTGGCAGTGACTTCGCGACGGTGAAATTGACCCGCGCGACTGCTGGCAGGGACTTCGCGACGGTAAAATTGACCCACGCGACTGCTGGCAGGGACTTCGCGACGGTGAAATTGACCCGCGCGACTGCTGGCAGGGACTTCGCGACGGTAAAATTGACCCGCGCGACTGCTGGCAGGGACTTCGCGACGGTGAAATTGACCCGCGCGACTGCTGGCAGTGACTTCGCGACGGTGAAATTGACCCGCGCGACTGCTGGCAGGGATTCGCGACGGTGGAATGGACCCGCGCGACTGCTGGCAGTGACTTCGCGACGGTGGAATGGACCCGCGCGACTGCTAGCAGGGACTTCGCGACGGTGAAAACGTTCCAAATCACTGGAGGAGAGGATTACGTGACGGGTAAAAGGAGCCGTGCGATTTCAGGCAGGGATTTCGCGACGAGAAGGTGGGAGGGCGCACTACGAGCTGCTTCTAGCTGAGGTGTAATAGGTTTACGTTGAGAAATGTTACTTTGGTTGAGTAGGCCTAGGATCTAGGGCGTTTGCCTTAGGCTCTGAATACCATGAAAGAAACTATGAGCTATAGGAAGTTGAGGAAGAATTGTTAACATTAGCTCAAAAGAGCACAAGGTTATACAAGGAAGAGAAGGTTGGAGAAGAAGACCAAACCTAGCACATAAGACACCAAGACCAAGTAGGCTAGTGGGAGGAAGGACCATCCAACCAACCCTAGTGGGATGGTGGCCAACCAACCAAAGTTGGTTGCTCCACTTGGCCAACAAGGTTGGAGCCAAGTCTAAGCTAGGATATTTGGGTTCACCCCAATTAGGGTGTCTACCTGTAGTACACCAAAAACTAGAGCCTGAACCAACCCAACTGTACACCACTCTTGGTGTACAGTCACAAGTGTTCGCATGCTATAATATATAGATTCTAACATCCCTCACCTGCCATCCCTCCCTCACCTGCCGTCCCTCCCTCATCTGCTCCCACCCCTCACCTGCCGTGACGGCCTCGCCCTTGTTGAGCTCGGAAAACACCTTCGACATGTCCGCGCCCCCGCCCCCTCCGCCCCCTCCGCCCGCTGACGCAGCCGGGGGCGGAGGCGGGGGAGGGGCGCCACGCGGAGGCGGCGGGGGACCTCCGCGAGGGGGAGCAGGGGCGGCGGAGGGGGCGGAGGAGAGGTAGGCGGGAAGGTCGAGGCCTGAGGCGGACCAGGAGGGTCCGGTGAGGTGGAACTTCTTAACATACTCCCGTAATCCTTGGGCGTACAGCTCTTTTAGCGCCCTCGCCCACTCCACGTGCGCTGCTCCCCCCTCCGCGTTGCGATACGTAGAGAGGATCTAGGGGACGGGGGGAAGGGGACGGGGAGGAGAGCAAAGGGGGGAGGGGGAGGCAGAAAAGGAGGGGAAAGAATACGATAATGAAGAGGGACGAAGGTCGAGAGAAGCGTTGAGGCGTGTTTGGGAGAGGAGTTGGAGAAACGATAGTGCAAAGGCGGAGTGGGAGAGGGAAGAGTGGGCGGAGGGAAACGGGGGTGGGGAAGTGTGGGATGCAGACGGTGGGAGGGGAGACGAGGAGGGGTTGGGAATGGAAAGGGAGGAACGAAGGGAGAGCAAAGTAAACGGAGACGGGAGGAAGAAGGGGGGTGTAGCAGCAGGACGTGGCAGCACCTTATTGGTGTAGAACTCGGCAGCAGGCCAGGTCTCGTCAATGTGTGGCCCGGGGAGACTCATGCCTGGTGGAAGGAAAATGGCGGGAGGCGGGAGGGGGATGGCATAAAGCGGGAGGGGGACGGGGGATAGGAGATGGCAGAGGGATGGAAGCAGGGAAGGCGGGAAGGAGGGGTCGGTGAGGATCGGTCGTGAAGGAGGCAAGTCGGCGGGAAGCGGGAACAGCCTGGTTGGGCGGGCAACGAGGAACAGCATGAGGGCGGGCAGTGTGCGCGCAGGAATCCATGAGAGCCCATGAGGGCCCATGTCCTGTGACTCTAAACTGGCGAGAATCGGCGCACAACGAATGGCGGGTCACCGTGACAAGTGGCGCTGCAAGCAGAGTGCGCCGACTTCCCTTCCCCCTTCCCCCTACCACATTCCTTCTCCATACCACACATCCCTCCCTCCCCTCTCTTCCCTCTGCCCATACCGCAGTCCTTGCCTCCCCCATACTGCATTCCCCGCACTTCCCTCCACCCTCCCTCCCTCTGTCCCCGTACCACAGTCCTTGCTCCTCCCCATACCGCATTGCCCCCTCCCCACTCTCTCCCCCCTCCTCCCCCCCCCGTACCGCAGTCTTTGCCGGAGTAAGCGACCCACGTGAGCGCGGCGACGCTCTCCGCGACGGCCTTCACGTGGTTGTACGCGTCCGTGCGCTTCCCCTCCGTCAGCTTGCTCGCCGCCGCCATCGCCGCTCCCAGCGGCTCCAGCAGCTTCGGCAGCGCTGACGTGTCGGGCTTCTGGATGGCGCGCGACGCAGAATGGGGGAGGTAGGGGGTGAGAAGGAGAAAGGATGGGGGAGGTGGGGTGGGGCAGGGGGAGCCGTGATGGGGGGAAAATAGAGGGTAGAAAATGCTGAGCGGAAGTGGAGGAAACGGAATGCGGGATGATCAGTTTTTTTTTTTTTTTTTTTTTTTTTTTTGGAAGGGAATTCTGGGGGAGAACGGTGATGAATGTGAATCGCGGAAAGCACTGCTTTCCGTTCTGGGCACGCGACGGAGGGTCAGCTTGTTCCTTCGAGTGTCAGATTCCTATCGTCCTCCGAATCCGGTCCAGATCCATGGAGATCATGCACGAATGCGGACGCGCGCCGCGCGAAACAGACACAGGCACCGAACGACGGAACAACCAAAGCAAAGCCCACCTTGCAGGCCGCGATGGCCGCGACGATCTTCTTCTCCGCCTCGAACGCTTCCGCCAGCACCTTGGTCGCCGCCGTCACTTCCGCGCTGCCGACCTTCTCGGCGGCCGCCGTCACCTTCTGCAGATTCGCCGTCAGGATCGCGTCGAACGCAACCACTGACGGGTGATCGCTGGCCGCTGCAGACGTGGACGCGGCGGGAGCTGACGTGGCGGTGGAGGATTGGGAAGGTAGCGAGGCCTCGAGGCGCGCGACAGCCGCTTCGAGGCGCGCGACGAGGACGTCCATCGACGTCGCCATTCGCTGTTGGGGCGAAAACGCGGATGCGCGCAATGCGGATAAGAGAAGAGCGTAGGTAGGCAGACTGGTGTGGAAGTGTAGTTTCTGAGAGGTCAAGAGAAATGGACGGAAAGTTGTGGGCAGTTGTAGATGTGGAGATTCAGAAAAATGTGGGAAATGGAATGGAGCTCTCTAGGTGGTTCTGACGCGGGCTGGGAGGAGAGATTCAGCGGCAGATTCGGGGATGAGCGAGAAGCACTGCGCAAGCAAATCTGGTTCGGACTATGCCATACCTTTGGTGCTTCGGATTCGGTATGGGTCAGCTAGGGAGCCCTAGTCTGGGAAACGCGGGAGGCTCGGAAAATAAATTTCTCGGTGGCAGGGAAAATGTTTCCCACAACGTGGCGGGCGGGAAACAACTGATGAGGGTGCTGTGGACGCTGGGGAAGCTGGAGGTATTCATAGCCGCGGAAGCATACTGGCTTGGTATGGGAGCTGGTTTCGTAACTGGTTTGGCGGTTGTGCAGAGTGCGGGGGCGTGCCGCGAAGTTGCTTTGCATTCGCGACAGCTTCAGCTGGAAACCAAAGCTCGACGAATAGCTGGCGAATCTGCTAGCAAGTAGATCTGATGCTCTAGTTCCTTCATTAATTCCTTTTCTCGAGAATCTTACGTCTTTCCGACGATTTCCGTTGCACTGTTCTTTGTCGCCAAAATGGACGATCCCGAGGCGTTGCTGCCGTCGATCGAGCGGCGGACGAAGCAGCTGCGGCAGCAGGAGCAGATGCTGCGGGAAGCCGTGACGGCCGCGTCGCGCAGGAAGGAGACGAGCGCAGCGGCGCTCAGGTCCGCCGAGGACGCGCACCAGCAGCTACTGCGCGATCGATTCCCCGCGCTCAACGCGCAGGTGTGATTCGCACGCGTGTTAGATTCGCTCAAACCGCGACAGGTGACGGTCCGCGTCAGTCGAGCAGCACCGTTGCGCCGATGAGAATTCGCGTGAGCTCGTGCTCGCGCGTGTCTCGTTGCAACTGGCGTCTTGCCTAGTCCTCACCCCTTGCAGCAGTGTTCCTTGATTTCCTCCGCCGGCAGGTGAATGCGCAGCTGGACGCCATGGCCGCCCATGCCGCCGCCATCGTCGCCTTCCTCTCTTCCGCGCGTGAGTCGCCCCTCCTCGCTCGTGCGTGTAGATCACGTCCTCTAGGACAACCCGACTCCCGTAACCATCCAGTAGTCCCCGCGCTTGATCCACTTCCCTGGGCTAGTGTCTGTTCCTTGTGCTTCGGGAGTGCAGCGCTGTTGCTACCCTCTCCGTGCACCCCTTCAATCGCGCACAACAGGCCCGGGGTCGCTAGCAATGGTGGCGGGGGTGGAGCCGCTGCTGGAGGCGCAGGAGGAGGTGGCGCTGCAGCACGAGATGTGGAAGCGACGCCAGTTCGATGAGGTGTGTCGTGGGCGCTGGACACAGGGAGGGTTCTGGATGCGATGCGAGAGGTGGGGGGCGATAGGGGAGAATGAACGGCCTCTATAGGCGTAGGAGGGGCCGGTGCTGCAGCACCAAGTGTGGAAGCGACGGCAGTATGATGAGGTGGGTGGTGGGCATAGCGAGGGGAAATGGGTGGTATGCGAGCCGGGAAATGAGGTGAGGTGAGGCTAGGGGGATGGATGAGTGAGGGGAGGCAGCACAGCATGCTTCGAGCATTAACCCTCAACTATTCCCTGTTTCACTCCTTTCGCCGAGTCCACTCACTTCGAAACCACCTGCCTCGTATGCGTCATCCTTTCCTTTATCCCTCATGGCGTGTGAGTGGCTATACAGGGGCCGTCCCGGGCGGTGGCGTTGGAGAGGTTGGGTTTGTACTCGCCGTGTGACCTCAACGACCTGGATTCTGCCGTCATTGGGGGGGACGATGGACCTTCCAACGACACGCCAGGTGAGCCCCTGCTGCTGCTGCTTGCCTGAGGTGCCTTCATGTGCATGCATGCACAGTGCCTCTCGCATTCCTGACTCTGGCGTGTCACAGTCTCAGCTCGCTCATTTGTCTAAGGGTTTCTCCAGCTTTTTCCTGCACCGGGCCTCGCTCCCTCCCACCACCACCCACCATTCCCCTTTTTCTCCCATCTTGCGCCTCCCACTGCCCCTCCCACAGACGCCATCTACAGGCGCAACATCAGGGAGCTCAAACACGTGCATGACCTGTGGGTGCTGGGATGTGATGTATTGTGATGTGTGACGTGACCTGATGTGATGTGACGTGATGTCATGTCATGTCATGTCATGTCATCTCATGTGATGATGTTGGATGAACTTCAAGGGATGAGATGTCTTTTTCTCTCTCCCCCCTACCCCTTCCTCGACTAGACTCTCTTGCTGCTCCACTTCCTCCCCGTCTCTTTCACCCCCGTGCTCATCCACCTGCCTTCACCCCCGCCCTTCATGTCCAACAGGGCGGGGGAGGCGGAGCAGCGCTACGTGGCGGCCATGGTGGACGAGGCTCGCTGGACCGCCAGGGGGAGGGCGCTGGGCAGGTGAGTCGGGGTCGTGGGGGACAGGCGGGAGAGGGGGAGAGCGCTGGGGAGGTGGGTTAAGAGTCAAGAAAGGGAAGGCAGTTGTCAGGGAGGTGGGGAAGAACGGCGTGGGGCGTGGGGCGTGGGGCGTGGGGCGTGGGGCGTGGGGCGTGGGGCGTGGGGCGTGGGGCGTGGGGCGAGTGGGATACAGGGCGTGTGGAAGGGCGAGTGTGGGCAGAGAGCAGTGGTGCACGGGTGAGAGTGGTGCATGGGTGAGAGTGGCACACGACCCGGGGAAAGCGCTGGGGGATGTATGGAAGGGGGGAGGTGGGTGTTGGGGAGGTGAGGGAAGTTCAAGAGTGGGATTTGGCGTGGTGTGAAAGTGTGTGTGCATGTGTGTATGTTTGCATGTGGGTACATGTTCATGTGGGTACATGTGCATGTGGGTACATGTGCATGTGGGTACATGTGCATGTGGGTACATGTGCATGTGGGTACATGTGCATGTGGGTACATGTTCATGTGCACACACATTGCACACTCCCTCCTCTCATCCCACCTCTTCCTCTCAAACCCCCGCCCCCCTCCTCCCCCCCTCGTCCTCTCAACCCACTCCCTCCTCTTGTCCCGTCCCCTCCTCTCATTCCTCGCCCCCCCATGCCTCTCTACCCCACCCCCTTCGCCCACCACTGGCAGCAGCAACAGTGGTGGCAGCAGCAGGGGGCCAGCAGGAGGCGCAGGGCAAAAAGGGGTGGGGCAGGGGGGGGCGGAGGAGAGCAGGCGGAGGAGGCGGCTGGAGGAGGTGCAGGCGGAGGTGGCACGTGCTAGAGGCGTGGTGAGATGGGGGGACGGGGGGAGAAGGGAGGGGGAAGGGAATGGGTAGGGAGATGAGATACGGATGGGGGGAGAGGGTGAGAGAGACGGGGGTAGGGAGAGGATATGGGATGACAGGGGATGGGAGGGCGAAGATGGACAGTGGTGCTCATGCCTGCTGCTTGCTGTCCCTTGGTATTTGTTACATGCCTGTGCATTGGCATTGGCATGGCATGGCATGGCATGGCATGGTGCATGCATGCAGGTGAGCAAGCTGTGCAAGGAGAAGGCACGCCTGCAGGATGCCATGGTGTATGCTGGTAATGCTTCATTACACCGCATGCCACCCCTCATTACCCCTGCACACCCCTCTGCCCATCTGCGTCTCCTGCTACTGTCCTCTGCCCCACTGTCTGTCGCTCATTTCCGTCACGCAATTGCTTTCGGCTTCCCTTCATCACCCTGCCTCTCGCGCTGCAAGGGTAATCACCAGGTATCAGTGGTACCGAGATACACTCATGCTTGCTCGTTGCTCGCTGCGACCAACGCAAGTGGCATCTTTCCCCCCTCCTCCTCACTTGCCCTCACTCAAATGCCCATCCTGCGGCCAACACTCCCCCTCAACTGCCCCCCTCCCTTCCAATCCTGCGCCCCTTACTCCTCCCCGCCCCTTCACCCATACATCCCCCCATCGTTGCGCCGCGCACCCACCAGGCGACTACGAGCTCAAGATGCAGAGGCAGCGCTTCTACCTCGCCAAGATGCACCAGGTGTGCTCGTCTTGCGGTGCAACGGGGTGCAAAAGGGTGTGAGGATGTGCGCAGGGATGTGAGGGTGAGGGGGTGTAATGGAATGTGAGGGATGGTGGGAGGGTGTGCGGGGGTTGAGGGGATGTGAGGGTGTGTGAGGGATGTGAAAGGAGGGCACCTGAGGGGGTGGAACAGGGCTGACAGGGGAAGACTTCGTGCCAGTGACGTGAAAGTCACAGGGGCCAGATGCTAGAATATTTCTTTTCAGTAACAGCAATAATAAAATGCTTTTCTATCCTCTTAGAAAAAGAACGTTTTCTTGCATGTCTTCCTTCCATCACTGCACACTCTTCCTCCCCTTCCTGTCCAATCTCTCTGCATCCACGTGGCTTGCAGCTGCTGACTCAGCAGTACTGGCAGCTGGCTGTCAACATGGCACTGCATGGAGCCGTCCTATTGGACGCGCACCACCTGGAGCGCACCCGGAAGCTGCTGCTCCAATTGCATCGTGACACGTCAGCAGCCATCAGCGACTCTGAAACCCGCAAGGTGAGTGTTTGTGTGAGGGGCGTGTGAGTGTGAAGCAGGGGGAATGGGATGATACGTGTGAGTGTGAAGCAGGGGGAATGGGATGATACGTGTACGGCCAACGGTGTCAGAAGGTGCCACACCATATCACTCTCTCACTCCCTCCCTCTCCCACCAATCCACCCCCTGCTACTCTGCTCATTCACCCCCTCCTCCCCCCTCCCCCTCTCCCTCCGCCCATGCCCCTGCAGGCGGCCTACAAGGCACTTGCTGCACAGCCCACTGCCCCCACCGCGCCCACTGCCCCCACCGCGCCCACTGCTGCACCATCCTTCTCCTCCTCCCACCTCCCGCCCCCTTCCTCCTCCCTCCCCATTGCCGCCTCTCTTCCCCTCTGGCCCGCCCTGCTCTCCGTGCTCTCCCTCCCCGCTGTTCAAGGGGAGCCACTCGGGGCAGCAGGGGGGGGAGGCGCGCAGGCAGCAGGGGGGAGGGAGGGGGAGAGTGCGGGGGAGGTGGTGGGGCGGCTGGTGGAGGGGCTGAGGGGGAGGGCGCAGGGGGAGGGGGAGCGGGTGCAGCAGGGGATGGAGCAGAGCGAGCGGCTGCTGGCACACATGTGAGTGGCGCTGGCAGTGGGGGTGTGAGGGACAGGGGTGTGAGGGGCAGGGTGTGTGAGGGGTTACAGTGGTGGGAGGTGGTACGCATTCAAAATTGATCTCACTCGTTGCACCGTCGGTTCGTCTTATTTCTCGTTCTGCACCCCGCCTCTGCCCCTCTGTCTGTTCCCTCCCGTCCCCCCCCACGGGCCTCTGCCTCGCTGTGTGCCCCCCCGGGTGACACAGGGCGGGCATGCAGGCGGCCATGGTGGAGCTGCTCTCATCGCCGCATGCCACTCCCTCCTCCACCGCCGCTCATGCCATGCCGCTGCACCTCTCGCCCCCTGTAAGCCTCTGCACCCCTCTGTAAGCCTCTGCAGCACTGTGTAAGCCAATGCACCCCCCTGTGGGCCTCTTTCCCCCTCAAACCCCCAACTATTCTTTCAAGTGGAGCCCTCCTCGCTGCTCCCTTGCCCCTCGCTTGCCCTTGAATCTCACAGCGAGGGCAGGTGGAAAGCCCACTGTGTGCCCTTGCATCCTGCTCTGCTGCTCCTTGCTGCTCGCCTTAGTACCAGCATATCCACCATCACCCCAATCATCCCATCCCTCCCCTGCCCTCACCTCCACCCATTCCCAAGGCTCTCGTGGACGAGCGGTTGCGAGTGGAGCGCCAGCTCAGCGATGACGTGTCACCGGCGATTGACAGGCTGGCAGACGAGTGGCAGACAACCCAGAGGGTGAGCTGAGCTGTCACATCCTGTACCATGCCATGCCATGCCATCCCGTGACCACGCTGGGCCATGCTGGTCCGTACCATGCATGTCCGTTTTTTAATGAACCATTCTGAGTGTTTCTTGCTCTCTTCCGTCCTCCCATCCTCTCTCCCTTCCCTCTTCCCTCCCGTCCCCCACATGCCATGTCTCAACATACAACTTCATCCACAGGCAATTACAGCAGCCTCTTCCATTCCCCTTACCCCCACTCCCCACCATCCCTCCCTTCACCCCTTTCAAGCGCCATGCACTCCCAAGCCATGCACCGTTCAGCTGCAAGCCTCGCCTCACTTCCCCCCATCCCTCCCTTGCCACTCCCTGCGTCCCCCTCAGAGCGCGGTGCACGCCCCAAGGCACGCCATCCGGCAGCGCGTGCTGCACTCCTTCTTCTCCCCGGGCGCCCTGCCCCACGCGCTACTGCTGCTGGCGCACCCCGCTCAAGGCGCAGGGGGCGAGGGGGTGCGGACCGAGGGGGCAGGGCGGGAGGTTCGAGAGGCTCAAGGCGGGACGCACGGGCAGGAGAGGGAGAGCAGGGGGGATGGTGGCGAGGGTATGCGCATGGGCATGGGTATGGACGATGGGGGAGGCAGGGGCGAGGGCATGGGCATGGGGTCGAGCACAGGCATGGTCATGGAGGGCGGGATGGATGTGGGCATGGGGATGGGTATGGATGAGGACGATGACAGCATCATCTTCTGACTGCCATGCCATGCCATACCACGTGCGCACCCGAGGCAGCTGGGTGGGCACCTATCCATCCCCCATCATCTTGCTTGTATCATCCATCTTGTGATGAAGCCTTTTCCCTGTTCTCGCTTGTCCTATCCTTGCTGTATCGATTGTGCCACGCTTAACCAGGCAAACTTGATGTAAAATAGTCAAGCCTACGCAACACAAGATTACAGGAAACAAATAGTGCCATATAGGCGTAAGTGTAGCAATACTGAAGTATAGCCAATCAATTTATATGCTACAGATACACGTTTGCTAAGGTGTAAAAAATGGTGAGCTGTCAAGCAGAAGAGCTCTCAAGCGTCACGGCGAGGTGGTCACTGGGTGCTCCACACGACACACCGCTGCACCCACTGCTGCTGGGGCAGTGCTGGTGGAGCAGTGCTGGTGGGGCAGTGCTGCTGGGGGGGGGGTGCTGGCAGCGCCTGCTGCCAGTGCCAGGAACACTGCTGTGCTGGTGCACCTGTTGCTGCCTCAGCCTGCTGCCGCTGCTCCTGCTGCTACTGCTGCTGCTTCTGCTCTACTGTTGCTGCCACTCCTGCCGCTGCTCCTGCTGCCACTGCTGCTGCTGTTCCTGCTGCTTTTGCCATCCCTGTTCCTGTTGCCGTCCCAGCGCTGCTGCTCCTGCTGGCAGCAGCCTGCACTGCACAGTTCAACAGCCCGCACGAGCTCGTGACGTGGATGGGCTGGGCAATGAACCCCTCCATGCCCGCCACCACGCACCACACTCGGTGTGTCTCCAACACATTGGCGGTGAGAGCGACGATAGGCCCTGCCCCAATGGCCGTGATCACTCTGCTTGCGTGTATCGTTGCTGCTGTCGCTGCTGCCAGCCTGCCATGCTTGCTGCTGCCAGCCTGCCATGCTTGCTGCTGCTGGTGGATCCTCTGCTCCCTTAGCTCTCTCCCTGCTCCTTATCCTCCTCCTGCTGCTGCTGTTGCTGCTCCTGCTGGCGGCGGCGGGTACTGCCGAACTCAACGGCCCTGACAAGGTCGTTGACATGGATGGGTTTGGCGATGAAGCCCTCCATGCCCGCCGCCAGGCACCGCACTCGGTCCGTCTCCAACACGTTGGCGGTGAGGGCGAAGATGGGCGGGCGCGGGCAGGACGGGCGCCACAGCGGCCACTGAGAGACGATGCGCCGCGTGGCTTCGATTCCGTCCAGCACTGGCATCTGGAAAGGGGGGAAAGAAAGAAGGGGAAGATGTGACGTTTGGGGTGCATATTATTGGCTTGGCTCCCATGCCATTGGCATCCAAAGGAGTGAGTGAGTGGGGAAGAGGGGAGTCTTGCACCATGTTATGCCCATCCTGTTTTGAGAATAGTGCATGCAGGCACACGTGCATGCAGGCACACGTGCGTGCAGGGCCCACGTGCACGCATGAATACATGTGAGCATCCATTCACCACCCACCTGCACGCATGAATACATGTGAGCATCCCATTCACCACCCACCTGCACGCATGAACACATGTGAGCATCCCATTCACCACCCACCTGCACGCATGAATACATGTGAGCATCCATTCACCACCCACCTGCACGCATGAATACATGTGAGCATCCCATTCACCACCCACCTGCACGCATGAATACATGTGAGCATCCCATTCACCACCCACCTGCACGCATGAATACATGTGAGCATCCATTCACCACCCACCTGCACGCATGAATACATGTGAGCATCCATTCACCACCCACCTGCACGCATGAATACATGTGAGCATCCCATTCACCACCCACCTGCACGCATGAATACATGTGAGCATCCCATTCACCACCCACCTGCACGCATGAATACATGTGAGCATCCATTCACCACCCACCTGCACGCATGAATACATGTGAGCATCCATTCACCACCCACCTGCACGCATGAATACATGTGAGCATCCATTCACCACCCACCTGCACGCATGAATACATGTGAGCATCCATTCACCACCCACCTGCACGCATGAATACATGTGAGCATCCCATTCACCACCCACCTGCACGCATGAATACATGTGAGCATCCCATTCACCACCCACCTGCACGCATGAATACATGTGAGCATCCATTCACCACCCACCTGCACGCATGAATACATGTGAGCATCCATTCACCACCCACCTGCACGCATGAATACATGTGAGCATCCATTCACCACCCACCTGCACGCATGAATACATGTGAGCATCCCATTCACCACCCACCTGCACGCATGAATACATGTGAGCATCCATTCACCACCCACCTGCACGCATGAATACATGTGAGCATCCCATTCACCACCCACCTGCACGCATGAATACATGTGAGCATCCCATTCACCACCCACCTGCACGCATGAATACATGTGAGCATCCCATTCACCACCCACCTGCACGCATGAATACATGTGAGCATCCCATTCACCACCCACCTGCACGCATGAATACATGTGAGCATCCATTCACCACCCACCTGCACGCATGAATACATGTGAGCATCCATTCACCACCCACCTGCACGCATGAATACATGTGAGCATCCATTCACCACCCACCTGCACGCATGAATACATGTGAGCATCCATTCACCACCCACCTGCACGCATGAATACATGTGAGCATCCCATTCACCACCCACCTGCACGCATGAATACATGTGAGCATCCCATTCACCACCCACCTGCACGCATGAATACATGTGAGCATCCATTCACCACCCACCTGCACGCATGAATACATGTGAGCATCCCATTCACCACCCACCTGCACGCATGAATACATGTGAGCATCCATTCACCACCCACCTGCACGCATGAATACATGTGAGCATCCATTCACCACCCACCTGCACGCATGAATACATGTGAGCATCCATTCACCACCCACCTGCACGCATGAATACATGTGAGCATCCCATTCACCACCCACCTGCACGCATGAATACATGTGAGCATCCCATTCACCACCCACCTGCACGCATGAATACATGTGAGCATCCATTCACCACCCACCTGCACGCATGAATACATGTGAGCATCCCATTCACCACCCACCTGCACGCATGAATACATGTGAGCATCCCATTCACCACCCACCTGCACGCATGAATACATGTGAGCATCCATTCACCACCCACCTGCACGCATGAATACATGTGAGCATCCCATTCACCACCCACCTGCACGCATGAATACATGTGAGCATCCATTCACCACCCACCTGCACGCATGAATACATGTGAGCATCCATTCACCACCCACCTGCACGCATGAATACATGTGAGCATCCCATTCACCACCCACCTGCACGCATGAATACATGTGAGCATCCATTCACCACCCACCTGCACGCATGAATACATGTGAGCATCCCATTCACCACCCACCTGCACGCATGAATACATGTGAGCATCCATTCACCACCCACCTGCACGCATGAATACATGTGAGCATCCCATTCACCACCCACCTGCACGCATGAATACATGTGAGCATCCCATTCACCACCCACCTGCACGCATGAATACATGTGAGCATCCATTCACCACCCACCTGCACGCATGAATACATGTGAGCATCCATTCACCACCCACCTGCACGCATGAATACATGTGAGCATCCATTCACCACCCACCTGCACGCATGAATACATGTGAGCATCCCATTCACCACCCACCTGCACGCATGAATACATGTGAGCATCCATTCACCACCCACCTGCACGCATGAATACATGTGAGCATCCCATTCACCACCCACCTGCACGCATGAATACATGTGAGCATCCATTCACCACCCACCTGCACGCATGAATACATGTGAGCATCCCATTCACCACCCACCTGCACGCATGAATACATGTGAGCATCCCATTCACCACCCACCTGCACGCATGAATACATGTGAGCATCCATTCACCACCCACCTGCACGCATGAATACATGTGAGCATCCATTCACCACCCACCTGCACGCATGAATACATGTGAGCATCCCATTCACCACCCACCTGCACGCATGAATACATGTGAGCATCCATTCACCACCCACCTGCACGCATGAATACATGTGAGCATCCCATTCACCACCCACCTGCACGCATGAATACATGTGAGCATCCCATTCACCACCCACCTGCACGCATGAATACATGTGAGCATCCATTCACTACCCACCTGCACGCATGAATACATGTGAGCATCCCATTCACCACCCACCTGCACGCATGAATACATGTGAGCATCCATTCACCACCCACCTGCACGCATGAATACATGTGAGCATCCATTCACCACCCACCTGCACGCATGAATACATGTGAGCATCCATTCACCACCCACCTGCACGCATGAATACATGTGAGCATCCCATTCACCACCCACCTGCACGCATGAATACATGTGAGCATCCATTCACCACCCACCTGCACGCATGAATACATGTGAGCATCCCATTCACCACCCACCTGCACGCATGAATACATGTGAGCATCCATTCACCACCCACCTGCACGCATGAATACATGTGAGCATCCATTCACCACCCACCTGCACGCATGAATACATGTGAGCATCCATTCACCACCCACCTGCACGCATGAATACATGTGAGCATCCATTCACCACCCACCTGCACGCATGAATACATGTGAGCATCCCATTCACCACCCACCTGCACGCATGAATACATGTGAGCATCCATTCACCACCCACCTGCACGCATGAATACATGTGAGCATCCCATTCACCACCCACCTGCACGCATGAATACATGTGAGCATCCATTCACCACCCACCTGCACGCATGAATACATGTGAGCATCCATTCACCACCCACCTGCACGCATGAATACATGTGAGCATCCATTCACCACCCACCTGCACGCATGAATACATGTGAGCATCCCATTCACCACCCACCTGCACGCATGAATACATGTGAGCATCCATTCACCACCCACCTGCACGCATGAATACATGTGAGCATCCCATTCACCACCCACCTGCACGCATGAATACATGTGAGCATCCATTCACCACCCACCTGCACGCATGAATACATGTGAGCATCCCATTCACCACCCACCTGCACGCATGAATACATGTGAGCATCCCATTCACCACCCACCTGCACGCATGAATACATGTGAGCATCCATTCACCACCCACCTGCACGCATGAATACATGTGAGCATCCCATTCACCACCCACCTGCACGCATGAATACATGTGAGCATCCCATTCACCACCCACCTGCACGCATGAATACATGTGAACATCCATTCACCACCCACCTGCACGCATGAATACATGTGAGCATCCATTCACCACCCACCTGCACGCATGAATACATGTGAGCATCCATTCACCACCCACCTGCACGCATGAATACATGTGAGCATCCATTCACCACCCACCTGCACGCATGAATACATGTGAGCATCCCATTCACCACCCACCTGCACGCATGAATACATGTGAGCATCCATTCACCACCCACCTGCACGCATGAATACATGTGAGCATCCCATTCACCACCCACCTGCACGCATGAATACATGTGAGCATCCCATTCACCACCCACCTGCACGCATGAATACATGTGAGCATCCATTCACCACCCACCTGCACGCATGAATACATGTGAGCATCCCATTCACCACCCACCTGCACGCATGAATACATGTGAGCATCCCATTCACCACCCACCTGCACGCATGAATACATGTGAACATCCATTCACCACCCACCTGCACGCATGAATACATGTGAGCATCCATTCACCACCCACCTGCACGCATGAATACATGTAAGCATCCATTCACCACCCACCTGCACGCATGAATACATGGGAGCATCCCATTCACCACCCACCTGCACACATGAATACATGTGAGCATCCATTCACCATCCACCTGCACGCATCAATACATGTGAGCATCCCATTCACCACCCACCTGCACGCATGAATACATGTGAGCATCCATTCACCACCCACCTGCACGCATGAATACATGTGAGCATCCCATTCACCACCCACCTGCACGCATGAATACATGTGAGCATCCCATTCACCACCCACCTGCACGCATGAATACATGTGAGCATCCATTCACCACCCACCTGCACGCATGAATACATGTGAGCATCCATTCACCACCCACCTGCACGCATGAATACATGTGAGCACCCATTCACCACCCACCTGCACGCATGAATACATGTGAGCATCCATTCACCACCCACCTGCACGCATGAATACATGTGAGCATCCCATTCACCACCCACCTGCACGCATGAATACATGTGAGCATCCCATTCACCACCCACCTGCACGCATGAATACATGTGAGCATCCCATTCACCACCCACCTGCACGCATGAATACATGTGAGCATCCCATTCACCACCCACCTGCACGCATGAATACATGTGAGCATCCATTCACCACCCACCTGCACGCATGAATACATGTGAGCATCCCATTCACCACCCACCTGCACGCATGAATACATGTGAGCATCCCATTCACCACCCACCTGCACGCATGAATACATGTGAGCATCCATTCACCACCCACCTGCACGCATGAATACATGTGAGCATCCCATTCACCACCCACCTGCACGCCCATGAGCACCCCCCCAGCTCCCCCCCCCCCATATCTGCACGTGCATGCCATGCCCGCCCTCACCTGCACGTCCATTAGCACGAGGTGGGGAGCGCCTGCAGGCGGAGAATGGCCTCATGCGTGCAGGGCACATGCGCATGCATCCATGAATGCATGTCAGCATGCATGCAGTCAACCCTCACCTGCACGTCCATGAGCACGAGGTCGAAGGGGTGCGCCTGTAACCGCAGGATGGCTTCCTGCCCGTTGTTGGCGACGGTACAGTCATACCCCATGCGCGCCAGCATCATGGTCGCTACCTTCTGATTCACCACGTTGTCCTCGCTGCTCCCATGCACGCACACGCGCACACAAGGGGGAGGGACAGGCATGGTGGGAGAGGGGGGAGAGAGGGAGAGGGGGAAACAGAGGGTGAGTGGAGAGAGAGGGAGAGAGAGGGAGAGCAGAGAGCGGGAGAGCGAGAGTAAGCAGCAGGGCTAGCTAGCACGGGAGAGGCACAGCAGTCCCAGACAGCGCATTGCACTGCCAGCTGCGAGCATCAGCCTCTCGCTGCCAAGGCAGTGCTTCACAATCCGGACTCACGCCCACCTGCTGCACGCACTAACTCAATCGTATGTGACTCCTCAGACGTGCCATGCCACGCCATGCCATGCCATGCGAGACCAACCCACCCCATGCCAACCCACCCCATGCCAACCTACCCCATGCCAACCCACCCCATGCCAACCCACCATACCAACCCAACCCACCCCATGCCATCCCACCCCATACCAACCCACCCCATACCAACCCACCCCATGCCATCCCACTCCACGCCACCCCACGCCAACCCACACCACCCCATGCTATCCCACGCCGCTCCATGCCATCCCACACCACTCCATGGCACCCCATGGCACGTACGCAAGCAGTATGTGGAGGGGGTGTGCCTCCGCCATTCCCACTCTGAACCCCGCTCGCTCCACACCGCACGTTGTTGCCCCACCTGCCCCTCTCGCTGCACCATGTGCCACCCCCTTCGCTCTGCCAGTCATCCCCCCCGTCGTTACATCGTTCGCCCATCCCTTGGCTGCACCATGTGCGCGCCCTCCCACTGCGTTCCCCTCAACCCTGTGCCCTCTCCGCATTCCCTGTGACTCCTCTATGCCCTCCCCCCTCCTCGCCACCGTCCCGCCCGCATAACAACTCCCATCACTGACCTCACAGCACCGCTCACTCCCCTCCTGCTCCTCTCCCCCCCCAAATCCCACCGCCTCTGCTCCCTCCCCCTCCCCCCCCTCCCCCTCCCCCTGTTCCTCCCTTCCCACACTGCACTGCCCCCCTCCCGCCCCTCTCTCAACCACGGTGGTAGGCTCGCCAGCAGGTTGGGTGCCAAGCTCGGCAGCAAGTTCGGCGGAGGAGGCAGGGTTGGCAGGTTGGGGAGGGCAGGGGGGAGAGGTGGGGGAGCGCGGGGGGAGGAGCGCGGAGAGGAGGCGGTTGAGGGCGATCTGGCGCACTGGACGGGGGAGAGCCGCCACCTGCACTCCTGGTAGGTGGGGCAGCTGGAGGGGTGGGGGGTGGAGGGGTGGAGGTGGAGAGAAGAGGGGGAGAGGACAGGGAGAAGCTAATGTGAGGGTGGTAGGAGGACAAGGGACGTGGGCAGTTACAACTGCCGATGTATGTACTGTATAGTGTGCTGTTCAAAAGAAAAAGAAAACGAACAAAAATGAAGTGTGGAATGGGAGGAAGTGAGGATGAAGGGACGAACACAGGGGAGGAGGGAAGGGATAAGACGGTGCTGTGTAGCTCATTGATAGGCACGAGAAGGATCACTTGAGGCGGAGCAGTTGAGGAGAAGGAGAGGCAAGCAATGGGAGGCAGAGGAAGGCGACCTACCTGCACGTTGCCGGAGTAGGGCGTCAGCACCACCACCTTCGTGCCCCCTCTGTCACCCTCGCCACACCGCCTGCTGCAGCACTCCCCCCCCTGCCTGCTGCTGCAGCTCTGAGCTGGCAGCCAAACCAGCCGCGAGTCCACTACAATCAAATCAACTCCACACCACCTTTCGCATCCGCACCCCTGCTCCCCTCCCATGCGCTCTTCCCCCTTTTCCCCGCTCTCTTGCCCGCCCCACACCCGGCCCCCCACCACCTCCCCCACGCCTCTCTCCCCACTTTCCCCATCCCCTTGCATGCGCCCCCCCTGCTCCTCACCGCCTCCCCCACCCCCCTGCGCCAGCAGCAGCGCGTCAGCCTCGTCCCCCCCTGCCACCTCACTCACGCACATGCCCAACCCCTCCAGGTGCCTCGTCAGCATGCCACGTGTTGCTGTGTGCGCCACCACCACCATCGCCTGCCGCCCGCAGCACCGGGCGGCGGTCTCGTGCCACGCTGCCACCCACGCTGGCGGCTCTGCCAGCTGGCTGCCGCCCGCATCCCCATAAGCATGCCCATGAGCCTGGAAGGGAAAATCCATGCTCCGACGCTGCAGCTGCTGCTGCTGCAGCTTCCGCAAAGAATCCTCCTCACTCGGGTCTGCCAGCACCTGTGCGGCATCTCCACACCCCTGTGCGACCGCCACACTCACACCCCTCTCGCCCTGCTCCCGCCTGCCCGCGCCATCCCCCCCCAGCAGCACCACCCTGCTGAGCCCCGCCTCCAGCGCGCCCACACTCTCCTCCCTCACCGCGTCCTCCCCGCGGCGCCGCTTGCTTGAGTCGATGAGCCACGCGGGCATGCAGGGGGAAGGGGGGGAGGGGGATAGGCTTTGCAACGCCACGCAGGTGGACCGGCCCTGCCAGGGCACAGTGGCACTGCGGGCGAAGCGGCGCGGTGAGAGTAGGGGGGGCGCGGAGTCACGGCCGCACTGCTCCCCACTCATGCACCTGCTCATTTGGCTGGTGGCGCTGGCGGTGGCGGCTCGGCTGAACAGCAGCTTGGGAGCAGCAGAGTCACCTGCCTTCCCTCCAGACATAGCCCCAAGGTGTTCAGCATCTACATCAAGCTCCACAGGCCGCACAGGCCGCATAGGCGGCCCCACAGCCTCCAGAGGCCCCACAGGCCCCACGTCGCCCCCAACAGGTCCCCCCACAGACACCCCACGTGGGATGCAGGGCGGGCGGTAGGGCAGCGCGAGTGCGGTGATATAGAAGGAGAAGGTGGCGCCGTGGCCCAGCCCGGCGCTCTCGGCCCAGATGCGCCCCCCCATGAGCTCCACCAGCTGCTGCGATATTGCCAGGCCCAGCCCCGTGCCGCCGTACTGCCGCGTGGTGGACGCGTCCACCTGGGAGAAGGGCCTGAAGAGGCGGTCGCGGCGGTTTGCGGAGATCCCAATGCCCGTGTCGCGCACGCTCACCACCACGCGGTGCCACCGGTACCCCGCAGATAACGCCTGCTCCACTTCGCCCGCCGCCAGGCCCCGCCCTGTGTCTCTCAGGCCCCTGCCGCCCCATCCACCCCCACGGCTGCTGCTGCTGCTGCTGCTGCCACTGCTGCTGCTCACCTGCTGCTCGTCTCCTCGGCCATCAGTGGCCCCTTGCCCAAGCACGGCCCCATGCGCGGGCTTGCAGGCAGTGGCAAGCTGGAGCATGTCGGGACGGTCCCCGAGGCAGTGAGCGGAGACGGAGACGTGCACCTCCCCGTGGTGCGTGAACTTGGTGGCGTTGGACACGATGTTGACCAGCACCTGCCGCAACCGCGTGGCGTCGCTCCTCACCACACGCGGCACACTCTCGTCCACCTCGCTCACCAGCTCTATGCGCTTCTCCATGGCGCGCACCTGGAAGGAAGGCATTAGGGGAAGAAGCACATTGGCACATGGGCATATGGAAGCACAGATGTGGTCGAGGGTCGTGACTGTGGTCGAGGGCATAAGGAAACATGAGTAAGAGGTACACTAACTTAATGGTTTATTAAGTGGTGCGCACTAGGTGGGGAGGAGAGATGAGGAAGAGGGGAATGTGTACACGAGTACGAAATGGGTCCCAAGAATGAGAGAAAACAAATACGCATTTTATCATATCAATGTATGAATGAGGGTAAAACAGAAGAGGCTTCAAAAATGCTCTTAAAGGGTACAAGGCACTGTCTAGGTCTTCGAGATTGGCTTCCGGGGCCAGTCAGGGGGCAGGCAACCAACTTTTTAGCAGGAAAGGATTGCGAACTATTTGGCCGTTTTGCACCTGCCCTTGCGGGAACGGTGGGCGAGTTTATTGGCTGTTGCTTGACGACGAGAATCGGCGAGCGAATCTCCGGGGTCAGGGACAACCTTATCCAAAACCTCGGGGAAGCAACTGACCTTGAAGCGCGCGAAGAGAGGATAACCGCATGGTAGGAATTCGGCCGACTCTCCGACGCTCATTCTGTAGGAAATAAATGAACGTCAGACTACTAAAACAGCATGGTCGTCATCATAAGGCCGGAGAGAGCTCCCGAGCGAGCGGGCGAGCACTGACCGCGAGCAGGTTGACGCTGTCCTCGACGCACGCGGTGACGTCGAAGTCGCGGTGCTCCATCTCCAGCTCGCCCGCCTCGATCTTGCTCAGATCCAAGATGTCGTTGATGATCGCCAGCAGCGCGTCGCCGCTGCTGCGAATCGTGTCCACGAACCCGTGCTGCTCCTCCGACAGCGGCGTCGACAGCAGCAGCCGCGTCATGCCTGGGTGCAACCATACGAGCGCGTGTATGGCAGAATGCGGATAAAATGCGGGTGACGCAAGGTTAATTGACGGTAGAAGATGGTCATGCATGTGAGTCGTCGTGCATGACAGACGACTCACCCAGGACGCCGTTCATGGGGGTGCGGATCTCGTGGCTCATTGACGCCAGGAACTGCGACTTGAGGCGGTTCGCGGACTCCGCCTCCGTGCGCGCCTCGCGCAGCTCCGCCACCATGCGCTCCAGCACCGCCGATTGCTGCGATATGCGGCTGCGCGATTGCTCCAAGTCCTGTCACCATGCGCGCACACGCGATATCGAAACCGCAGGTGAGCGAAATCGGTACCAGTGGCTGGTACTGCAGCTGCTCTCCGTCTCGTGCTCTGCGATATTCCAGTAACGAAGTTGCTGGTCACTCGTAGCATGACCCGTGCCGCTCACCTCGATGCATCGCTGCAAGTGCTCCCTCGCGCGCAGATGCTCCTCGATCTCTCGTCGCAGCGCCTCGTTGCTGCGCTGCAGCTGCTCCGTGCGCTCCACTACGCGCTCCTCCAGCGCGGCGTTGAGCGCGCGGATCTCGCCCTCCTTGCGCTTCAGGTCGCTGATGTCCGCCGACACGCCGATCACCCCCACCAGCTGCCCCGCTGGGTCCAGAATCGGCGTGTCCGTTACCTGCAAGGTGGGGCGTGCGGGGGAGCAGACGGTGGCGGGCAGCGGATAGGCGATTGTGGGGACGCGGGTGAGAGGGATTAGGAAGGCGGACCGATGCATGGGCGCGGGGGGGATTGTGGTATGAGCGCGCAGCCTCACGCGGAAGAGTAGCGCGCACTATGGCGGGGAAGGGTAACTCGCGCCATGGCGGGGAAGGGTAACTCGCGCCATGGCGGGGAAGAGTAACTCGCGCCATGGCGGGGAAGAGTAACTCGCACCATGGCGGGGAAGGGCGAGCCGTCTCTCCGCCTGACGAGGAACTCGCCGGTCCACACCTCCCCTTTGCTGAGCGCGCCGAATATTTCCTCCGCCTGCTGCACCGTCGTGTCCGCCGGCGTCACCTCCATAATCGGCCGCCCCACCGCCTCGCCCTCGCACCACCCGTACATCATCTCCGCCGCCTTGTTCCTGCGGGGAACATGCCGCATGCGTGATGGGGAAACAGGAGAGGCGGAAGCAGCCGAGCGCAGACCGGAGAATTGGTGGGGGAGGGGAGCGCAGTCAACCCAACCGCATCGAACCGCAATCAGTCATTCATTCATCACTTCGAGCAACGCCCCTTCGCGCTGTTACAAACCCCTGTCGCGAACCGTTACTCCGGCCGCATTGTAAGCCGCGTCGCGTTTGGACGCACCAGTAGGTGATGGTGCCGGCCAGGTCGGTGCAGATGACGGCCTGCCCCACCGACGCCAGCAGGTCCTTCTGGAATGCCACTGCCGGTCGCCGGGGGGTAAGGGGGTGGAGAGGGGAGAGCGTGTGGGTGCGGGGCGGGGTACAGGGCCGGGTAAGGCGGAACATCCCCAAGCAATGGGGACTGCGTCCGGCGACAAAGAGCGGGTGCGACAAAGAGCGGGTGACGCGACGGGATTGAGTGGACGACATTTTGCGTTCCCGGTGCTCGCAGCGTTGACGCAGACGGCGATAAACACGGAGAGTCGCAAGGCTGTGAAGGTCCGTCGTCAGACCGTCTCAGAATGCGCACTGTGAGGAGCGCGCTGTGACGTGCGCAACGATCACAGAATGCGGGTGAGGCCAGAGGGGAGAGACGCGGAGAGCGGCAGAGAGGATACGCTTTGCGGCTGTGGCGACCGAGACGCGCCGCGCCGAGCTGTTTCACGATGTACGAGCCGCGGCAGATAACGGCGAATGGCAATTACCTTCGCGTCGGTAATTTTCGTGGTCCGCCTGGAGCCGCTTCACCGCCTCGACCAGCTCGTACCGAGACAGCCCGTCGAGCGCCATGGACCGCGGGCCCAGCGGGTCGGCGGCCGTCTGTAGCTGCAGACGCATGCCGGGCACGTCGCAGCGAGGCGTGGGCTCCGCGAAGGTCACGACTTCGACGACGCGCGGGAAAGACGAGGACGGCGCGCTCGTATTGTCAGGTCTAGGCGCGCTGGTGCCGCCTGTATTCTCGATTTCTCCGTCGTCGCTGACGAGCCTATCAGATGATCCGACGAAGTCTTCCGCGGAACCAGCAGCGGTCCCTACGGCGGCGTCAACCACTGCACGCGGGGAATTGAGTTCGCACTCGCTGCTGCTTCTTTCCCCGTCCCCGCGGCTCTCGCTTTGCATTTGCATGGTGACTAGCGTTGCATGGACAACAAAGATGTGTGGGAATGGAACAAACTCTTTGTGCGTCTGGTTATATGAAACTGTCGGTCGGGTGGGCAGGATGCAGGGGTTACAACTGGGCTCGTTGGACTTGAGCTATGAGAAACAACGATGTGTTTCGTCCTGACACGTGATGAGGCTTGAACCAGAACCTACATTACCAGGCCAATCATCCTATCTTGGCTGAAAACATATGGTATGTTGGATAACAAATCTGATATAGACAAGGTATGTACTGGGAGGACATCTGAAACCCTCAAAGTTGCTTCAGTTTCAGTTTGGGGCCTTTCCAGGAAGCTTTGATTGAGACCCATAACTTTGCCCCCCGCCACCTCGCAACTCGGCCTCGTCTCTCCGTCACATGTGTTTTCCTGCCACATTCAAACTTGGGGCCTGGGTTCATCATCTCCACCACCGGGCTTGTAAATTGTTCACTCAACTCTCCCCCTCCCCCCCCCCCCCTCCGCCATTCCATGCGACATGACAATTCAGTTCCAATACCTTGAAATCTTCGCGAAATTGGTGGTGCTGCTCAAGTTCACGAGCTCTTATTCGGCTTGTCGGACCCCAAGCATTTTCCGGCTGGACTACTGTATCCACATAGCGGGACCTGGGAGTTGACACGTTCTCGCTCAACACAACCCTACCCAGCTGTTTGAAACCATGTAGGACCGCTTCTTAACGCTCGTTCTGTATAGAAATAACGACGTTTTGCGACCCAAAGAGTTCGGGTCGACCTCCCCCGATCCCTCATTTCTAGGAAAGCTGTTTTGCGGAAAAAGCCGACCAGTTCGACCCAACCTACATAAGTTGGGTCTGCCCGACCAGATTGACCAGTTTGGGTCGACCAGGTCGACCCGACCCATCCCGACCGGTTTGCGACGAGTTACTTGAGCTAACGAAAATAATAATCTCGCTCGGATCTCGTTTTACAGTCGCGTACGAATTGAAAATCTAGCGAGGCGAGGTTCTGCGTAACCTCTTGTCTAGCGAGTTGTTGTTTCTCGTCACAGTTCGCCTAACCTGCAGGGAAGCTGGATGCCAATTGCGCTGTAGGTGCTTCGAGGGTGTGCCAGAATTTCTCAGAAATTCTTTGTGGTTCCGAGCCGCGACAGTCAGGTCGACAAGGTCGACCAGACCCAACCCAATATTGTTGGGTCGCAACACGTAGTAAATGGAGACTCGACTCGACCACAGGGTAGCTTGGCCTCAGTCGTCAGGTTCTCGAAGCAGAAACTGCCTCGCACTGCCATGACGACAGACAGACAAACCCTGCAAACGAGAGCATCAGATTCTCCCCCTAGGCCTAGGGAGAGTACCAGGTGGAGGATTTGTGCGGGGGATTGTTGTTGCGCTGACGGTGTATACCGCCCACGATATGGTAAGAGTGCGACACCCTGGATGGCGCACGATTCAGTCGTCAACCTGACTGTTCATCGTCCGAAAATAATCACATTCTCCTACAAGACACCCTGGAAATATGTATTTCGACGTTTTCTGTAGTGCGACCGAGTGGCTTCCGACCCGACTAAAACAATTACGGCAGAACCAGGGTGAAGCTTCACATTTGATATTTTACTTAACGGGAACACACTTCACAGAACACAACCCTTTTTTTAAGCAGATACCGTAGAAAAAAAAACATCAGTACTGAAACACAGTCAGTGATCGTCGTTCCAATGGTCCTTCAGAGACTGTTGCTGCTGCCTTCGATGTCGTCTGGTCACAAAGATTTTCCTTGGAAATTGTGAAATAACTCAAATGCACTAACCCCAAAAAGTGTGCAACTTAGGTATGCGGCAATAGCAGCTCCTGCATCTTACTGAAACGCTGGTCCGCTTTACAAATCCTCAATTATAAGAAAATAGAGGTACTCTACCTTGGAATGTTCTCACTCGTACACCTTTTGCCAACACGTCTCCACCCGCCAAGGCACGTGACACCCATGGTCACTAGTGTGTTGGGTACAAACCCACTGTGTCCCAAAATTTGAAGTCAGTACACCTGTCCCTCGTCAATTTCAACCCCAAGAGTTGGTCGCTCGTGGGTAGGTACCCTTTTTCTTTCTAGAACCAAGGGTCGTCTAGCTCGATATAAATTATAAAGTAGTTAAAGTCTCGTACACCCTTCGACTACGTGGACGCAACGGAGGTCACAACAGAAAAAAATGTCCGCGTTAGTGGGTGGTTCGCCTGATCTACTGAGAGTTGTTTTTTTCTTAACACCGATACGGGGAGCATAATTCATATCCTTATGATTCTGGGTATCTGAAAGGTACACCCGAATCTGGTCTAGGGTGCCTCAGTAAAAACTTTTCAAGGGCTGAAATTGGCAGGGGAGAGGTGTACAGTGGTTCCGTACATGACGGCAACCAACTGAAGTTCTGACATCTCCAGCTTGTCAAACAGCAAATCCCGTAGGGATCAGAATGTAGGGGTGCCATTCTTGGTTTCTTCCGTTATAGGATGCATAATGTTTAATATGATATGACATGGATCATGATGCACATGCATTCACATAATTTAAATGGGTGACAGTTAGCGACCCAAAAATTAAGCTACCGCCATCCCCTGCCTAGCATGGGGGGATATCAATAGCTTAGATCTTGAATAATCAACTATCACATGAAACAACACAATCTATAAATCCTAAAAAAATGGTCAACCATATCAAATACAGTTCGAAGTGGTAACACACGAGTCACTGTCAAACTGACAAACGAGAATGAATGAACTATGAATCAGTTGGGTACAAGTACTAACCTTAATTGGGTTGTACCCCTTATGGGCTACCCCACTATAGCCTACACAAATGTAAGCAATATAACATTCTGACACACCCCTATAAGCAAAGTGGAGGAGAACAAGTGGTCACAAGACCAGTCAAGAAAAGCAAAGTAAGCTCAGGGTGGATCACTAAGTCACCACACAGTTCGAGCACAAGCAAAGGCCACAAGGCCACTTCACATACAGAGTTATATAAAAGAGAACAAACAGTACAGTGATCATACCCTAGCAAGTAAAAGCATGCAGGTGTATATATATATCCATCACAGTTGAAGCAAGTCAAGCAGTGAGCAAGTGAGGCAAAGCAGGCACAAGGCCTAGAACAGTACAGAAACGCTGATGATCACCAGACTGAAGTGCCTCGATGAATATATCAGCAGTGTTGGCCCTAGTGGCCACATAAGCAAGACGAAGCTGACCACTCTGCTGCAACTTGTCAGAATAGGAACGGAAGAATGACTGAACTAGCAAGCAGGTGGGTACAAGTAGGAAACCTAAAAGTGTTGTACCCTATATGAACTACCCCACTACAGCCTAGATAGACTATAGCATATAAGTTTGACACACCCCCATAGGCAAACTGGGGGAGAACAAGAGGTCACAAGACCGGTCAAGAAAGGCAAAGCAAGCTCAGGGTGGATCACGACGTCACCACACATTCTGAGCACAAGCAAATGGCCACAAGGCTAGTTCACATGCAGAGTTATATAAGGGAGAACAAGCAATACAGTGAACACAACCTAGCAAGTGTAAGCATGCAGGTATATGTATATAGATCAAAGTACAAGCAGAGTCAAGAAGTAAGCAAGTGAGGCACAGTAGGTACAAGGCCTAGAACAGTACAGAAACGCTGATGATCACAAGGCTGAAGTGCCTTGGTGAAAACATCAGCAGTGTTGGCCTGTGAGGCCACGTAAGCAAGACGAAGCTGACCACGCTGCTGCAACTCTCGAGCAAGGAAGTAGCGCAGAGCAATGTGCTTCGTTCTGTGCTCCAGTATGTGCTCCTGACACAAGGCAAGCATGGCCTTGTTGTCGATGTACAGAACTGGAGGAGAACGGGGCGCCTCTCCCAAGTCGGTCAGCAGGTAGGTGAGCCAGCGTAACTCCTGTGCAGCCATGGCCAGCGTAGATCTCAGCCTCACAACTGGAGCTGAGAACAGAAGACGAGCGGGTAGACCGCCAAGAGACAGAACCGGAGTCAAGGCTAAAGGTGTAACCCTGTGACGACCGCTGCGTAGCCAAGTCGTCAACCCAGGAAGCGTCTGCGTGGCCAGTGAGGACAACTCGAGCCCGTCCTCCAAGCACGAGCCCCATGCCCGACGTACTGCACAAGTAGCGCAACACCCTCTTCGCAGCATCCCAGTGCACATTTCGGTGCCTACCGGGAGCCACGTAGCGA